CCAGGGGAGGAGTCGCATAGAAATAAAAGGGTGCAATTGCCTCTTTAATTTTTTTTAATATTTTTAATATTAAAATATTAATACAATAGTTTGGTGAATGATTAATACATAAAAGAAAAGTTGTTATTTTTAAGAGGAAAAAAAAAGAAACAAATTAATATAGGGAAAATAGCTGGATATCAACTTGCATAAAATTCTTGTTTTTTTTTTTTTTTTTTTTTTTTTTTTTTTTAACTTGGAGGCTTCAACTAGGGGATGATACATACTTTTGTAAAGTTGCGAGTGTAACTTGAGCTGGAGACCTTTGGCCACGTATAAGCCAGCATAAACTAGTGAAAGACAATGAGCTAATTCTAAAAACGCTTACTCATGCTAATTATATAATAACAAGCAAACTATTACCTAAAGGACACTACGAGTGACGAGTCAATATCTTTTTAAGAATTTTATAAATACAAATAATCACAAAAAATAAAATGGATTTGGAAAACATCTCAAGTCCAAAAAACTTGAGTTTACCAGTCAGTCAAACTCAAAGTAGCGTAAGTCTGACAAATATGTTAAATCCAAAAGACTTAGACATAATAGTTAACCAAGCTCAAGTTAGCATGGATCTGACAAACATGTTAAATCTAAAAGATTTAGGTTTATCAGTCAACTAAATTCAAGGTAGCGTGAATTTGACAAATATGTCAGACTTAAAGTACTTCGGCTTAGCAGTTACTCAAGTCTAAGATAACATGATTTTGACAATCTTATCAGACCCAAATAATTTGAACTTGGAAGTCATCCAAACCCAAGGTAACATGAATTTGACAAGCATGCCAGGCCTAAAGCATTTAAATTTAATCATTATCAAGTTTTAAGGCTATATACATGATCGTAGACTATTCCCTAAAAGTATTGAATACATGATAAAGTTTCATGCCTCTCCATCTAGAATAATCATTCATATCGATGGAATGATTTTTTGATACTCATAGGTGTATACATGGTCTTTTACCATATTTATTATCTCAATAATGATATATAAAGGATATTTGTTTTTTATTAATATCATTGAAAATAGAGGATTTTTTAGTCATTCTTTTCTTTAAAAATGACAAGGTTCAATGGGTATATATATATCTCTTGAATCATCTAGGTAAGGATGCAAAACTTTTTATCTTTTAAGATAAACTTATAAATATTTTAGAGCATTAACCAACTTAAAACTCTTTTAAGTGATTATTTACCTTTCTTATAAATATACTGACTTTATAATTAGAGGATTTTTAAATCCCCCTATTAACATTATTTTTTAAGGTACTCAAGTTCTTACAATAAGCTTGGAATTCTCTAGACTAAAAAGAAAAAAATCCAAGTACATGAACGTATTAATTAATTACTATTTCAAATATTGAACAACCTATTATTTACATATATTGGATTTTAAGACATTATTAATGAGCAATCAAGATTGGACAAGATAGAATTGCGTCGATAAAATATTTTTTAACTTTTTAATTCCCAACTAAATAGAAGATAATTTAGGTTATATAAAACCATTTGATAGTTTTAAAAATATGAGAAATTTCAGTTAAAAGTATTTTTTTTATTACAACACATGAGTTGTGAGAAATCCTTTAACCTTTTACGATAAATGAATCATGTTAGGGCATCTATATAGATTATTTCTATAAAAATTTATTTGAGCATATAAGCTAAAAATACATTTAAAAAACTAGAGTTATTTATATGAATAAATCTTCACTCAGAATCATAAATAAACTACTAGTTAAAAACTCATTAAAATCTTTAAATTATATTCAAATTATATAATATAATTTATCTTAGATAGAGTATGTAAAGAATATTAATATATTTTCTAGCCACCACTAATTTTTTACCCTTAAAATCTTTAAAATAAATAATATACCTGAGTTTTATAAGAACCCTTAATCAAATAACTAAATAATAACTCTTTAACCCTTGACTTCGCGCGCTGATGGGCAACTGAAGGAACAATCAACACCTGTGCTCGGAATGCAAAGATGATATACATATGGCTTCATGTCTTCAGTGAAATTCACTGTTTGGAATTTATTATACAATGATTAATGGGACCAACCATGCTGGTCAGCAAATCTTTAAAACCATGCCTATACGCCAAATAATGATAAACCATTTGCATGCATTTTAGACACCAAAGCATTCTTTCATTTCCAGATAGTGGTGGTGGTGTCTTCTGTAACGACATTAGCAACTAAACAACTAAATTAGGCAAACGATAGACATGAATTAATGATGTTTGTCATCCTCTGCCACAGCTCCAAAAACCATGAGTGGACGACAGTATAAAATAATTTTAAGTGATCCTTAATCTACTCTCTTCCAATTTGTCTGGAAAAACAAAAAACAATAAAAACAATTAGGAGTCATTGATGGCGTCAACTATAAAGTTCTGTCTCCTCTCGATAACAGTCATAAGCAAAATTTGATGGCCTCCTAGTCAAGTGTAGAAGATACACGTTGCTTGAAAGTGTCCACAAAAGGGAAAACTCTCTTCGCTGTCTCGGAAAACTCTCCACCTTTTAAATTGTCAAATGTGAGGAAGAAAAGAACAAGAGAACTGCAGTCCCCATTTAGAATTAATTATGTTTTTCCAGGATGCAATCAACTTAAATTGTCAATGGAAACACTGCTATATATATATATATATAAAAAAGAAAAAGAAAAACCCACAAGTGGTCCATCCTACACATTTGTGTGTATGCGTGTGTTTACTAATTTCTACCGTGTATATTTTCCTTGAAACCTTGAATAATTCGGCATCACAACTTGTAATATATATATCCAGCTATTTTCCCTATATTTGTTTCTTTTTTTTTCCTCTCTAACTAACCGAGAGTTTTTGTTTGTTTTGAGTTGTTGTTCCCTCCTCTCTCCAGTATGTAAATTTCTCATCAAGTACAATTAAACAATTAACCTCTTTTTTTTTTCTTTATACTTTAGGTAAATTTTTTTCATCTTTTTTATTTTTTTCTCTAATTTTACTTTTATTTTTTTATAATTATTTATTAAAAATATTAGAATTTATGATAATTTA